TGAATCTGTGCCAGCTGGGGTGCTGCTGGGTTGGTCCCGCAGCCCCGAGGGGCAGCACTACTGGACCTACCCAGCAGCACCCCAGCTGTTCTGCCCCCTGCTTCCGGATTCAGCCGCTGGTCAGTTTTAGCAGCGGCTGAATCCGGGAAACTGGGGGCAGAGCAGCTCCATTGGTCCGGTTGCCTGGAGCACTTCCGGGTTCTTGATGGTGCCGGACCATCAGGAGTGCCGGACCATCAGATGCTGGACCATTGGAGTTTTACTGTATTTGGGAATGGTTATCCAACCAGTAATGGAGCTAGGTATTTCTCTAGTTTGTAAACGAGGTCATGAGAGAGTGTACAAATGCCTTATTAAAATCTTGATATACTACATCTACCCCTTCTCCCTAATCCACAAGGCTTGTTATCCTGTCAAAGATAGCTATCAGGTTTGTAGTGACATATGCTATCTAGGGATGTCAATGTGTACTTGACGATATGATTAACCAATAAACCTAGGCTTATGGGTCAATCTTGTAGACTACATACATTTCCTCCCTCCGCTGCCTCTGTATCATAGGCAGCAAGGTTGGAGAGGAAAAGCAGGCTTAAAAACCAGTTCTCCACAGCATCAAGTCTGAGGTACCGCCTGTCTCCCCCACCCTATACCCTCCTGCCCCTGCTATCAGAGGCAGCAGTAGCAGGTAGGCTGGATGGTGGAGAGCTTGGGAGGTTGTCACAAAGCAGCCTCTGTCCAAGGCAGGCCTAACCACCCCATGAAGCAGCAGGGCAGCCTGTCTGTGCAGGCTGCTTGTTTTTAAACTCTGTATCAGATCACGTGGTGGTAGGGGGCTTTCCGGAAGTGGGGCCAGGAGCGCACTGGCTGTTGGCCCCTCCCCGAGGACTATCAAATAATCATGTAACCGCTAATATTTCTTGTGATTACACAACTTTTCAATTACTCGATATCTAACACCCCTAAAGTCATCATGTGCCAGTAATGCCCCACGGTCATGTACACTGGCCAAACTAGTCTCTCTTGAAAATTGCCATAATCGAGTAAAAAAAAACCTTAGAAAATGGACTGTTAAGAGCTGGAGTTCATATGCAAACCTGATACTATTAGACCGTGTCTGAACAGACTCCGAGTGGCTCTCTCATTACAAAAAGTTATTTTCCTACTTTTGGTATTCTCACGTTCTCATCAACCTTTGGATGTGGTCTACACCCTCCCTGGTTGAATGGCCTTGTTAGCACCCATCCTCCTCCTAGTAATGTAACACTCCTATCTTCGCATGTGTAAATATCCCTATCAAACTCCAGCCCACAAAAGCTTATGCCCAAATACATTTTAGTCTTGATGGGACTCGGATTTGCTGAAACAGACTAACACAACTACCCCTCTGAGATCTAAAATGTCATTTATCTGAAATTCTTCTTTCCTCTAATTTTGGATACAACCCAAGCTATTTGGATAAAAGAGGTTTATCCATATACGGAAACAGGATAAAACAAGGGAGCACTGTGCCAAATTTTTAATGTGAGCCCTTTCATTTTATGATACCAAACAGTGTCTGTTAAGGATTAATTTATTCAGCAAGTAATTCTGTAACAGACAGTTGAAGCTTATTATTTTTAAGCTCTTCTATGTTATGTAAACAGTACCACTACCTTTTTAGAAACTTATATAAAATAAAAGCAGTCCAGTTTCAGCCCACATCAAGATTAAAAAACCAAAATCATGGAAAACAAATGTGTATTCTGAAAGGTCATCAGATGCCATTCTAACTATTTATAAAATGCATACAGGAAATACTTTAGGCACAAATACAATAACCAACCTATAATTTCTACTTTGATCTTCTTTGCTTTCACTGTAACCTCCGTCTGCCCTTCTTCCATCTCTTCAATTTTACGCTTTTTTGGAACAGCAGGGAGTGTAGAGTCACCAGAGGGGTCATATGTTTTCACTTCACTAGAATAAAGAAAACCAAGTAGTTGTAAACTTGCAAGGAAAAAACAACAACACTGTTAATAAGATACAATAGTAAAACAACATTAAGTGTAGTATCTTATTAGAGCACCTTCCGCTGGTGAAAGACAAGCATTTGGACTACAGCCTCTCCCCGAGATACGAACGAGATACAGACTAAACACTTGGCCGTAACTCGATCCGTTCGTAACTTGCACCCCATTGAGTTACATGCTGTTCGTAAGCACGGGTCGCGTTCGTAACTCAGGGACCGCCTTTACAACTGCTCCATGGGAGCTTTGGGTCGTAAGTGCGAACGGTCGTAACTCGACTGTTCGCAACTCAGGGAGCGGCTGTACACATTTGGACTCTATTACTCTTCCTCTGGTCCAGTAAAAGATAACCTGGGACCAACAAGGCTGCAACACCGTGGCAAATGCAGTGCACCAAAAAGCCCAATTTAGATAAGCCACATTGTATTTTTTATTATAAGGGTCATTGTAATCAAGATTTCAATTCTATTCTAGTCAGAGACCTCATGTCCATTATGTAGTTCTGAGCCTGAACAATTCTTTCTTTCAAAAGGATGTGGCCATGTGCACACGCATAACATAAGAACAGATATATTGGGTCAGACCAATAGTCAATTTAGCTGAGTAGCCTGTCTTCTGACAGCAGCCAAGACAGATGCTACAAATGAGTGAACAGAACACGGCAATTATCAAGTGATACATCCCATTGTCCATGCCCACCTTCTGGCAATCTGATGCTAACGGACATCCAGAGCACAGAGTCTTAGCTAGCAGTCACTGATGGACCAATCCTCCATGAACTTAGCTAATTCTTTTCTGAATCCAATCAGTTTGGCCTTCACAACATCATCTGGGAATAAGTTCCACAGTCTGACACTTATATGAAGCAGTATTTCCTTTTGTTTGCTTTAAACCTGCTGTGTGTTATCTGCAAAGGGTGACCACTGGTTCTTGTTGTATATGAAAAGGTAAGCAATACTTCCTTATTCACTTTCAGGATCTTATAGACCTCTCATATGCTCCTTAGTCATCAATCTGCTAAGCTGAACAATTCCAATCTTTCAAAATATCCTCTTATATGGAGACTCTTTCATACCAGTAATATTTTTGCTGCTATTCTCTATTCCTTTTCCAATTCTAGCATATTTTTTATCAGATGAGATAGCGAGGCAGGGTTTTCTTGCCCCACAATGGAACTGAAGGGGTTAAGGCAGTACTCTCAGCAGCAGAAGCCACATTCCAAGGCTGCTGCAGTATAAAAGGAAGCCACTGAGGAGTGAGGAGGAAGTCACCAGCTCCAGTAGAGGAGCAGCCAGGATCCCAGAACACAGGAACAGGAGGCAGATACCCAGGTACCTGAGGACATTCCAGGGAGAATGTCATCACTATCCAAGGAACCAGAGACTGAGGATATCCTGACTTCAACTGCAGGAATCATGGCAGGAAGTAACCTGGGGAGGGTCTAGCCAGTATCCCTGTAGCAGTGGGTATATGTTGCAGTCAGACTCCCTGTTGATGTGGTGGAGCAGAGCGGGCCTGGTACCCCCTAACCCAGCCCTCCAAACCCCCTCCTACTGTCTCTATACATCAGGCCATATTTATCTGTAGCCAAGAGGAGTCTCATTGATGGCAGCCATTGGGTCCTGCAGCCATATTTACTTAACCCGAGGCTACCATGCCCTTGACTTACCCACAGAGTGACCTTCCTCCATGCAGCATTCAAGGTGCTGAATACATGGATTTATATAGTAGCATTAGGATAGTTACTGTCTTATTATGTATATCCCCTTCCTAATGAATCCTAACATTAGATTTTGACTAGGGCTGCATACTGAGGTGATGTTTTCAGAGAACTATCCACAATTACTTCAAGATCTTTCTCAAATTATAACAGCTGGTTAGACCCTCATCTTTTTGTACATATAGCTGGGATTATGTTTTCAAAGGTGAATTAGGTCTGTAGACCTGGGCTCTGAGAGATGCACTGCTGCAAGTTTTAAAATGCAGTATAGATATTCCCTGCAATTCAGAAAGTCTACTCAACAGCACATACAAGACAGATTTTTTTAAAGGCACGAGAAGCAGTTAGAAATTCAATTCTGATTTTGGCCTTGGGAATTCTACTTGCAAGTGTCTTATATGTCTACACTGCACTTTAAAAGCCACGGCAGTGAGTCTCAGAGCCCAGGTATGGGCTTATGGTATAGCACTAAAACAAGCTGTGCAAATGTTTGGGCTTGGGGTGGAGCTCAGCCAATGAAGCCCAAAGAGGAGGTGGGTTTCTGAGCTCCAGCTACAATATCTAAATTGCTGCCGTTAGCATCATAGCACACTCCCAGTTCCACAGACCCAGGCTCTGTGAGTTGCAGCTACAAGTTCTCCTGGAACCTTCCCAGCTCTACTCATCCTCATCAGCATGCCCCACCTCAGTACTCTGCTCGCTCCTATATTCAGACTTCCTTCACTACTGCAACATCTGTTCCAGGCCCTGGGACAGTTAAAGGCTTGTCCCAGCCAAAGACAGTTACTTGCTGTCTTTGGCATCAGTGAAGAAAAGAATTTCTCCCAAAGTGGAAAAAGCCCTTCTAACAATCAGAATATTTTATGAGTATGCATTTGCTGTTTCAGTAGTGATGGCAGGAGGAATGCACCACCGTAGTATTTCTCCTTTTGTTCATCACTAAAATACTAGTGTAAGCCTTTGATCATCAATAGATAGGCAAAATTTGATGTGCTGAAAAGCTTTTTTTGGGAAAAGACAGTGTTTAGACCATTTCCACAAAACACTGTACAACAGATTCTAAGTGCAGTCAGATACATTTATGACTCTCAAAGGAGATTACAGCCCACATTGCTTTCATGTGGCAGTAAACTCTCACTCTTCACAAAATGTGAGAAGGATATTTCTGATCTGCCTGGCTATGGCCATCTTAGTCAAAAGTTAGATGAGTGACACAGTCATTCAGGGATGGTCCATGTCAGATAGTAACAAGAGATCCCTAAGACACTATGATATCAATTCAGTCACAAAGAAAACTGACATTTAGCACTTCAAATAGTGAAAGCAAAAATTATTTTGATTGTTAAATCAGTATTACTGTAGAATAGAATCTAGTTTACATCATGCTCCCAAATTACTAGCATCAGAAAAGCTGCTACTTTTCAACAAGATGGCCACTTCTGGTAGGAAGCTCAAATATTTTACTGCAAATAAACTGTGGAAATTAACGTATTCTTCACCTTTTCTATTCCAGACTGCTAGGGTGAGAGTCAGAAATTTCAAATTATCATGTGTGTGTTCATCTTTTAAGCCTGGAGTTTCATTTGTTAGTGCTGTAACATGTCCAGCCAGGAAATCAGGACTTCCAAAGTAAACAAATTGAGGATATAAAGGTATCACACTATCCTCCTACTCTCCACTTTAAAAGCCCCTGATGCTCCACTTGCTTCTATTTCAAAGCTTTTCTATATGTAAAACCCTGCCATAAATCACATCAGGGAACCAATCTACATCACTGAAGTTTTTGAAGATTTCTCATGGGAGATGTTTAGCTTTGTGACTGACAGCCAGGACTGAAGCAGCTATTATGAGACTGCATGTGCAATGCAAACAGAACTACCCTTTCAACAGTGCTTTTGCTGCTCACATATCCAGTGTCCACCTGCACCAGACAATTCACCAGGGTAAATAAGCTAAACTGTCCTCGGCCCACACGGGAAATTAATGACTTGTCTGTTGTTTATGCCAATTCTCCTAAAGTTGGGTGTTTCACATTTTGAGCTGCATTTTCCAGCATCACTGCAGATACCAGAAATTATCTTTTTAATATTTTGTCATACTTTTAATATTTACACAGAATATTTATTGGTAAGGACACAGTAATACTGGTTGCATATGGGATTCAAATAAAAAGAAGAAATTTTGCTCAGCACAATGACGAGCATTTTCTATAAATGAACTGTCAGAAAGCCAGTTTCTAGTGTGGTTATCAAACATATTATGGGAAAAGTGGAAAGTTTACCTAAACCCTGCATGAAATAACCCAGATAGATCCTCAGAGCTATCAGAGTTTCACAACTGATGCTAATAATACCCAAAGTCCTCCCACAGGATGTCTCAGCAACACATTCTTAGAAAATGAGGGCAGTTATCCTAATCCACCTGCTTTATTCTGACAATTGAGTAAACTAAAAGAAAAGTAGGCGGCACTAAGGCTGTGTCTAAACTACATCCCTTTTTCGGTAAAGGGATGTAAATTAGGCACGTCGATATTGCAAATGAAGCCGGGATTTAAATATCCTGTGCTTAATTTGCATAATGAAAGCTGCCGCTTTTTTCCAAAAAGGGGATTTTTTTCGGTGGAGGAGGGGTGGGCGGGGACACACAAAAAAACCAAAACCCATGCACACCCCGGCAGTTTAGATAGGAATCTTTCAAAAATAAAACCATTTTTTGAAAGATCCTGTAAACCTCATTTTTTGAGGAGTACAGGATCTTTCAAAAAATGTTTTTATTTTTGAAAGATTCCTATCTAAACTGCCGGGTTTTTTTCCCCCCCGAAAAAACCCCATTTTGGAAAAAAGCGGCAGCTGCCATTATGCAAATAAAGTGCAGGATATTTAAATTGCAGCTTCATTTGCAATATCGACATGCCTAATTTACATCCCTTTACCGAAAAAGGGATGTAGCCTTAGAAATGGGCATGTTATCAGTATTCAAGCGCATGAAAAATGTTTCCTGGAACTCAAGTCAGCAGAGATCAAAACCCAAGTCCCTGGGCAATAAAAATAAAGTTATACCCAGCTAAGCTGAACAGAAAACTACCCACCTTCTGTGCTGATATTTGTCTGCCCTGGCCAAGGCCTTTCCTGTGCCACTTATTCTTCTTATCTAGGACAAAAATGTAGACGTGAAAAACAAATTACTCACAATGAAAACAATTTAGAACAAATACCACAGCCCTTGAAAGGAATTTTAAACTGTAAAGACAAGCATACAATGCTTGGCAAAAAACCTACATGCTCTCAAGGTGCCAGCGAAGTACAGGCAGTCCCCGAGTTACGCGGATCCGATTTATGTCAGATCCACACTTATAAACGGGGCTCTCTTTCCCCGGAGCTCGCAGGCAGCGGGACTGCCCACAGCGCAGCGGTCCCACCACCTCGACCTCCGGGGCGAGAAAAGCTGCTCCCGATGTCCCTGGTCTGCTGGAGACGGTCCCCAGCAGACCAGAAGCACTGGGAACAAAGCCGCAGCGGAAGCGGAGTCCTCTGAGGCTTGGCACCACGCCGCTGCTGCTGCTTTGCTCCGGGTGTCTCTGGTCTGCTGGGGACCGTCTCCAGCAGACCAGGGACACCTGGAACAAAGCCGGGGAGGCTGAGGCAAAGCCGCTGCAGCTTTGCTCCCCGTGTCCCTGGTCTGCTGGAGACGGTCCCCAGCAGACCAGAAGCACTGGGAACAAAGCCGCAGCGGAAGCGGAGTCCTCTGAGGCTTGGCACCACGCCGCTGCTGCTGCTTTGCTCCGGGTGTCTCTGGTCTGCTGGGGACCGTCTCCAGCAGACCAGGGAAATGTGGAGCAAAGCCCGGGGCCTGTGGTAGAGCCGGTGGGGTGCTGCTGGTTGGTCCCGCAGCACCGCTCCTTGGTGCTACTGGACCAACCCGGCAGCACCCCAGCTGCTCTGCCCCAGGCGTCCCCAAGTCAGCCGCTGCTGAAACTGATCAGTTTCAACAGCGGCTGAATCTGGACGCCAGTTCTGACTTGCATGCAGATTCAACTTAAGAACAAACCTACAGTCCCTATGTTGTACATAACCCGGGGACTGCCTGTACAGCTAAACAATATTTACTTTTTGGGAGAAGCTGGTGAGTGGGGTCATTTGGATTTAGAAGCATTGGTGTCAAATGTACAGTTTTCTAACCCATTCAAGGTTCATGAAGTGCAGGTTCCTTTTTATAATTCACAAGAAGTGACAGTACTGAAGCTTGTGTGTGGTAAAATGTCTAAACTTTAAAAGATGCACCCATTGGAGCTAAACAAGACCACTTGGAGCAGAATAGATATTTCACCCAGAAGAGAGCAATGATACTGTCACAAGAGCAACATACAGTAGACTTCCGATAATCCGGAACCTATGGGACCTAGGTGATGCTGGATTATCAGATATGCTGGATTATCAGGAGGTACTGTAAAATGGTTTATATATATATATATGTGTATGTGTGTGTGTGTGTGTGTGTGTGTGTGTGTATACACACACACACACACAGTATATATACTGTATATAAAGTGTTCTTAACCCTTTTTATTGTACATACTGTAGACAGTATACTGTAATGTTTTCGTTTAAGCCTTTTTTACCCTTTTTGCTCAGTTCAGCTGCTACCACTGTTACCTTGTGACTCATTTTTTGCCGAAGCTCACTCACTAGGCTCTTGCCATTTTGATGCCGGACTATCAGGAGTGCCGGATTATTGGATGCTGGACTATTGGAGTTTTACTGTATTATGTAAACAGATGCAACACAAGTGTTGGAAGGGTGGCAGGATGCTTAGTTCTTGGTAATGGGAGAGCAAGTGAGCACAACACATCCTCTTTGGCTGACAATGGCTCTGTTTACTGGCTCTAAAGAGAGTTCTTGTGGTCTACAAGTGTAGTTGACACAAGAAAGATTTTCAGAATTAGGAGGTCCAATGCAGACAATATTAGAAGAGAAGAATACTTAAAGCTCCAAGGAGCTTACTTCCTGAAACAAAAATGTCACAAATTATCAACCAACCAGACTAGCAATATCAGGGAACATATGTCTGTCTGTCTGTCTGTCTCCTTATCAGAACTGAAGTTTCACGCTGAGATCTAAATGTAAATATGGAAGGAGGGAAACCTAATGCAAGTGATAGTTTAGGAATGCAGAGATGGGCCCACCCAGAAGTCCCTGTTCTAGAGACTTTCTGTTCTAGGCTAGGCCAAGGAAAAGTACGGCAAAAGAAAGTATCACAATCTTATGATGGAAAGAAAAGTTAGCAGAAGTGCAGTCTAAGAACCACACCCCTCACTCTGCACAAACAAAATGGAAGTCTCCTCCCTTTTGAATAGCTTTAATTTAATTATCTTTTCAACATTGCATTGTAGGCTCACCCCTCTCTCTTCTAAATGTCTCAGTCTAGTTTCTACTTTTAATCTGTTCTCAGCTCCCATTTCAGCACTGGAGTCCTCTCCAAGAGCATCATAACGAATAGTCAATGCAGTTTTGGCTGCTAGCATTCGAGAGATCTAGAAAAAAAAAGATGAATGTTAAATACTGAGATAGAACCCAAGACAATAATTCACTATGTTCTCAGCTCTGTAAACCATGTCAAGAAACAGGAGAACAAAATGACCGTGTAAGTAATATTTAGCTTAGAAAATAAGTACATCCCATTCAGCCACATCTGCAGTGTTGAGATTTTGTGATATTAACTTTACTTCACCAATCACCCAAATCAGTCCAACTTGACATATGTGCTGGAAGCAATCTGCCTTTAAAAACCAACTAAATAACTTTTTACCTCAGTGTGAACACATGTTCAAAGTCACGTTATAAAAAAACACCTTTAAATTTGTTTCCTTTACACGTAGGTTGTTAGTTCCAATATGGAGTAGAAGCTTATCATTTCAGGGATTTCCTCCTCTGAAACTAAGTACGTCTAATGTACTCTTAGCACATTTTGCATTGATAACTAATCCTTCTTTCTAATATGAGAGAGTGTGAGACAGCTGACTGCAAGATCTGTGGCACAGTGGTATTTGCATACAATCACAAAAGAAGAAAAGCATAGCAAGCAATGGAAAAATCCTTCCCATGACTCTCAGGTTATCCATCTAATCTCCATAGATGTTCACCTGCATATGAAAAAGCTAACTAGCAAGATAAATCATTTCTGTAACTCACCTTTCCTTTGTTTTTTGCAGCACTTTGTCCCACGAGGGAAGCATGATAAATTAGGCCAAACTTGGGAGTGTCCCGTTTAGTCTTCAGGGCTCTAAAAAGAGCTTTCTCAGCACCCAAAATCTGAACAGTGGAAGCTGGATGTTTAGCCAGATTCAAAAGGGAACCTAGGGCAGCAAAAGTTATGGAACTGTTAGTTTATCAGGCTACTTCTTCATTACCAGGAAGATCAACTCTGCAGCAGTTGATCTTCTGGAGTTCTATTTAGCGGGTCCAGTAAAGCACGTAAAGAAAGGGTGAAGTGAGGAGCATGCTGATTTCACACTTGAACTGGGAGGCCCATGCACTCGCTGCTATGGATCAATTGGCACACCTGGCAAATTCTACGCACACAAGTTCAGTTAGCAAAACTGCCTTATCCTGGGAGACCATTACGACAATCTTGCGGCCCAATGAGATGAAGAAGGGACAGTCATGCAGCCCACTCACTAACCTAGGTTGTCTGTCGCTGGCCGAAGGATATGCCCACGTTCCAATAAAATACCAGTGGCTGACCCGGGTCAGCTAACATAGGCTGATGGGCTATAAAACTGAAGTGGATCTTGGGCTCTGAAACCACACAGGTCCCAGGCTCCAGTCCAAGCCCAATCATCTACACTATCATTGTATACCCCTGCAGCCTGACTCAACTGACCCAGGCCAGCCCTGGTGGATATTTTAGTGCAGTGCCGACATTTTGAGACTGCACAAGTCTGAGCAGGATAACAAGAAATGAGTGACAGTAGGAGGACAAGCTTCATAACAAGAGGATTTATAAGGTGATTTACATTAGTTTCTAGGAGGAAGCTGTGGTGTTGATACACTGCAACTTAAGTAAAAATGCTTCAGACCAATTCTGTCCCACCTCCAGGCTTACATTTGGAAAGGAGGTGGGAAGACTGACTTGAAAGGAAACATCCCACTGGATTAATGCTAGTGCTGATGGCACTCTGCAGTAAGAATGCAGACAGCTTGATCTGTAGCTGGTACTACCACTTTAAGAAGGTGAGAACCCTAACACTTTTTAAAGGCAGTCTGACATCAGCTTAAACCTAAATTCCTCACAGTTTAATTCAGATGTGACTAAGGCTTTGTCTACATTGTCAACTGAAAGATAAAACTGTTGTTCACAAGTGCTTAAAAAGCCCCCCCCCCAAAGGCAAGTGGCAATGAACCCCACTGGTAGGGGTGTGTGTAAGTATTCTGTCAGCAAAAGTACCAAATAAACAGCAATCGCGCTGTCAGAATTTAGTGACATGGCCTTGTCAACAAGACTGTTGCTAAAAACTGTGCAGCAAAGAAAGCCGAAACTATTGGCAACAGGCTCAGAAAGTGTCTCAGAAGAGGTAGTGACTGAAGTTGCCTTCATATTCTAAAAAGAAATCAGGCAAACTGAAAAATTAATCATCATTGACTACTTCTGTGCTCATGCCAACATTCTGACACCACTGCATGTTCTCCTGGCTATCATCAAAATGCTGTACATCAAGAGCTGAGCAAAACGGTTTCAACTGACCAGGTCCTCAGGGAAAGCTACTAATGGACTTATCTTGTGAAGCCAGTTCACATCTAATTTGCTATACACTGATCAAAGTGACTTACCTGCATGAGCAATGAGCCTTGCTCCAACCAATTCACCCACCATAACAGTGAGATTAGGTGCAATGGCCATCATTCTGTTCTTGAGATAATCATACAGCTGCGTTCGGTACTCTGAGATGTCTATCACCTGGCACAGACACATAGGATCAGGTTAAAGGAATCTAACAGGTGTTAACCAACTGTAAAAGTGTTAGTGTGTGTCAAAAAGGGAAAGCCCCAAAGACAGCAGTCAAGAGGCTGCTAATTCAATAATACAATTACAAATTCACAATATAATTGTGTATTCAAATTTCTAATGTGAATTATAGCAGAATGAAATGCAACAGGAGTGTGAAATCCTAACAAAGCCAAAAGTGAGGTTTATCTGAAAGCTTTATATGGGCAGCTTCATGACAGATCCATATGAATACAATACATACAGAGGATAAATACAAATGTTACGCTGTTGTTATCAGTAAAGGGACTGACAATATGCCAAGTAAAGGGAAGGACAATTACTGAGACCATTTTCTGCAATATAAAACATGGAACATTCTGCTTTACCAAATATTTGTAACCACTTTCTTAAGATGGGATACTATTTACCTCAAAGAATATTCTTTAGACAAAGAAAATTGAAGTGTACTAATAGGCAGCTAGTATGACACTAAACTTAGTCTGCTGTAAAAGCCAGGAACTCTCTACTTCTCATCCCACCTCTGTCACTGAGGGTATGTCTACACTACAAAGTTAGTTCGAACTGACGGATGTTAGTTCGAACTAACTTTCCTAGGCGCTACACTAGCGCTCCGCTAGTTCGAATTTGAATCGAACTAGCGGAGCGCTTAGTTCGAACTAGGTAAACCTCATTTTACGAGGACTAACGCCTAGTTCGAACTAGCTAGTTCGAACTAAGGGCTGTGTAGCCCTTTAGTTCGAACTAGTGGGAGGCTAAGGCTTCCCAGGTTTCCCTGGTGGCCACTCTGGCCAACACCAGGGAAACTCTATGCCCCCCTCCCGGCCCCGGACCCCTTAAAGGGGCACGGGCTGGCTACGGTGCCCGTGCCAGGTGCAAGCCTGCCAGCACCCAGCTAGCAGACCCTGCACCTGGCACGGCACAGAGCCACCCACCCGATGCCCCCCAGCCCACCCCCTCTTGCCGGGACCAGGACCTCGTCCACGATCTCTGCACTAGGCACAGGAAAGTGGCCGTCTAGGGCAGGAGAGCTGCCAGCCTGGCCACCCAGGACCAGGTGTGCATGAAAATCAAGGGGGTCCACTGAGACCCCCGACACTGAGCCCTGAGCTTACAATGGCCGTACTGGGTCAGACCAAAGGTCCATCTAGCCCAGTAGCCTGTCTGCCAACAGCGGCCAACCCTAGGGACCCTGGAGGGGATGGACCGAAGACAGTGATCAAGCCATTTGTCTCGTGCCATCCCTCTCCAGCCTTCCACAAACTTTGGGCAGGGACACCACTCCTACCCTCTGGCTAATAGGACTCCATGGACCCAACCTCCATGACTTGATCTCACTTCCCTTTAAACTCTGTTCTAGTTGTAGCCTTCACAGCCTCCTGCAGCAAGGAGTTCTGCAGGTTAACTATTTGCTTTGTGAAGAAGAACAACTTTCTCTTACTAGTTTCAAGCCTGCTACCCATTCCTTTCCTTTGGTGTCCTCTAGTCCTTCTTTATGGGAACTCAGGAAGAACTTTTCTGAATGCACCCTCTCCACCCAACCCCTGCTTTTAGAGACCTCTATCCTGTCCCCCCTCCGTCTCCTCTTTTCTAAGCTGAACAGTCCCAGTCTCTGTAGCCTCTCTTCATCTGGGACCTGTTCCCAACCCCTGATCATGTTAGTTGCCCTCCCCTCTCCCAGCCTTTCTCTTCCCCTCTCCCACCTCCTTTTCCCAGTCTCCCCCAGTTTTTTTTCAATAAAGACAGAGTCAATGTTGGAAGAAACGTTATCTTTATTTTGTACATCAATAAGAAGGGGGGCTAGGGAAGGGTAAGTGGAAGGAGGTGAGGGAGGAATGGGGTACGAGCCCCCGATGGGGAGGACTGGGCTGGCTCTGCGGGCTTCTGGGGGTGGAAGCTCTCCTGCAGCCCCCCAATTACTCCCTCTCCCCAGATGGCAGCCTGCGGCAAGTGCAGCCGGGCTGATGGCCGAGTGGTGTGATGTGCCCAGTGTGGGCACTCAGGGCACTCCAAGCCAGAACTTCTTTGCAAGCGGGGCACCCCTTAGAACTGTGTGTCCGGGGTGGGGGTCGGGACCCTTTAAGCGCAGCCCTCGGCTAGCCTGAGACAGCATCTCCATGCTCTAAGTCCTCCTCTTATGCCCTGCCGGCACTGCTTCCGGCCATCCTTAAGCCCTGTTCAGAGTCCACTCAATGTGGACTTGCTAGTTCGAACTAGCAAAACGCTAGTTCGAACTAGTTTTTAGTTCTAGACGCGTTAGTTCGAATTAGCTTAGTTCGAATTAACTAATTCGAACTAAGTTAGTTCGAACTAGCGCTGTAGTGTAGACGTACCCCGACTGTGTTAGCTTGGTTAGGTACTAAATAGTCTGACTGCACAACTCAAATGGGAGTTTTTATCTTTCACAAGACTTGGACCTTAACCCATCTGGAGTCAGTTTTCCATCTACAAAATGGGGCCAGCACCATACTTTTATAAAGCATTTTGAAACACAGATAAAGGGGCTATATAACTTAGAATTTAAATAGCATCCTTCTAAGGATCTCTGAGTACTTTTTAATATGCTTTTCTCCCACAGTCACATCTAATAACATTAGTGTCAGCAATATAAGATGGCATCAGATGAGGTAGTGACTGTGCACCCTCATGTTTGTACATCAGGTGAGCAACAATACAGTAATCATCACTGCCATTGAGAAAGTATGATGGAGCAGTCATAGGAAAACTGCCCCTTATAAAATTGTCTGCAGAAGCAGCCACCCAAATTGCTACACGTCTTAAATTAAAGGTCTAAATTAATATGTACCTGGTTACAAAGGTGCAGTATATTGTTTATATCTTCTTCTGATACTTCTGTCCCCATGGAGATCTCTGCAGCAGTCTTGACATCCTCCTCAATCTCTTCTGGCAGGATGTCTGAGAGGTCAGCGGTAGAAACGTTTTTTCTGTCTCCTGCAGGACAAGATTGAAGGTGGGGAGAAAAGAAGAAAGATGATCAGGTAGAACAAAAACAGAGGGATCACAAAGAAGTCAGATCCAAGTGAATCAACATGGCAACACCTATCCATTAGAAAGGAGTAATCAACTGCACAGACACAAAAGGGGAAATGACTGCCTAGAAAGTACTGCAGAAAAGGATCCAGGGAGTACCAATGGATAAGATCAGCCATACTGGGTCCATCTAGCTCAGTATCCTATCTGCCGACAGTGGCCAGTGCCAGATTCCCCCAGCCCCAGAGGGAGTGAATAGAAACAGGTAATCATCAAGTGATCCCTCTCCTGTCATCCATTTCCAGACCCTGACAAACAGAGGCTAGGGACACCATTCCTACCCCACCCCGGCTGATAGCCATTGATGAATCTATCCTCCATGAATTTATCTACTGCCTTTTAGCAAATATAACCTGCTGGTTATATTCATTTTTTACAAACCCCACACCCCTCCCCTTCCCGGCGGATTATACTCGTGCGCGGAGTATATAGGTTTTTTTTTTTAACTCGATAGAAGAGGATCTCCCCACCCTTTCACTACCTTTGCCAGGCTGGGGTTAGGCTCCCAGCTCGCGACTGAACAACGTGGGGAAACTTACAAGGGGCGCAGCAGCCAGGAATGCTCTGGAGCCAGGGCAGAGGTATCCCCAGCAGAGGTGCAATGCGGGAGGCTCCCAGCCTGGGCTGACAAAGGGAAGGAGCCCGGAGCAAGTTGCTCGGTGGCCAGCAGCAGCGACGGGAGTCTGCAGGCGGCCACAGCTCACAGGAGTGGGGCCAGGGCATGGTGCTTGTTGCTCATTGCTCCTGCGCGATCCAGCCGGGTGGCCCTTCCCTGCCTGCAGCTGCCGCACGATGGACCCACTGCGCGCTCGCTTGTTGCTCCCGGGTTGGCACCTGCCTTGCCACCCCAGCCCAGAAGCAACAAGTGGGGCATGGTTCGGGGCAGAGGCTTGACAAAACCCTGGATGGGTTGATTTAGTTGGGATTGGTCCTGCTTCGGGCAGGGGGCTGGACTTGATGACTTCCTGAGGTCTCTTCCAGCTCTATGATTCTATTTATAAGATATTCTCTGTCTTATTCTCTATCCCTTTAATGATTCCTAACTTTGTTTGCTTATTTTATGGCTGCTGCACACGGAGTGGATTTTTTCAGAGAACTATCCACAATGACCTCAATATCTCTTTTGAGTGGTTATAGCTAAATTAGTCCCATCATATGGTACATATAGTTGGGATTACTTTTTCTAACGTGCTTTACTTTGCATTTATCAACATTAAAATTCATTCGCCATTTTGTTGCCCAATCACCTAATTTTGTGAGATTCTTTTGAAGCTCTTCAGTCTGCTTTGTTCTTAACTATCTTGAGCAGTTGGATAATCATCTGAAAATTTTGCCACATCACTGTTTAGGAATAAGACTGATTCCAGTACAGACCCTTGAGGGACACCACTAGTTACCTCTCCTCATTCTGAAAAGTGACATTTTTTCCTATCCTTGTTTCCTCTCTTTTAACCACAAACAAAATATGAGTGAATAATGTAATACTCTTGAAAAAATGCAAGTATCATTCCAGGGTGTATTAGCAGGAGTGTGGTAAGCAAGGCACAAGAAATAATTCTTCCACTCTACTCAGCACTGATAAAACCTCAATTTGAGTTCTGGGCAGTGCAACTCAGTAAAGATGTAGATAAACTGGAGGAAGCCCAGAGGAGAGCAACAAAAATTAAAGAAAACATGACCTACAAGAGAAGATTAGATTTGTTTAGTCTGCAGAAGATTGAGAGGGGACGGGATAAACAGCCTTCAAGTATGTAAAAGTTTGTTACAAAGAGGCTGTTCTCTTTAATCACTGAAGTCAGGACAACAAGTAATGGGCTTAAATTGCAGAAAGGGAGATTTAAGTTAGATATTAGGAAACCTTTCTAAACACTGGGGATGTGAATGGGTAACCAGCTATCCGGTAACGGTAATGCTTACCAATGAGCCGTTAACTGGCAGCCCCACGGTTGGGGGCTGATCCGGCCCACCATGCCACAGGGAAGGGGCGACTCCAGTTTGGCTGGACTGGTGTGCCCCCGTCTACAGGACCCTGTTTAATCAGTTTAATGTAACATTTACAGTTAACCAGTTAGCTGATTAAATGGGATTTTATATCTGCATTAAAACATTAGCATAAATTACGTAGGAAGGTTGTAGAATCAAGAACAGGTTGGACAAACACCTGTCAGGGATGGTGTAGATCAGAGGTTCTCAAAATAAATGTTTTGGTAGCCTCAGCGTGTCTACATTGCTTACATTTTGTCCTAAAATACTTAATTAGCTTTAGGGAAAACAAATTAATACGCATGTATAACATTTTAAAGCAGTGCGCTAATGTTAAAAGTTCTGACCCACCAAATACAAAGGGAGAATTTAATGAAGAGAGCCAAGTCAGTCATTTATCACTATCAGGTCCTAATTTATTCCTCCCCAACATGTTATTGGAAATGCCCTTAAAGTCACAAATTCCACTGTGAGCTGTAAAGCCATGACATCACTGTACAAATCAATAGAAAAGCCATGCCTAGATGTTGAAATGCACATGTCCACAAGATTAAATCCATTGTTACTTCTCATCCAAGGAATAACTATAAAAATATCTGTGGTTTCATGAAACACCCAAACCCACAAGTGTTTCTCTCTATATATTACTTTTAAGCAGTAATTCCCAACTGTCACCTATGAACTAATGGTGATCTGTAGAGTACTCAATGTACCACCAGCAAGAACAGGCCAGTGCTAGCTCGCCTTGTTTCCAACAGCTAAATTGCCAAATTATATTACATTACAATTATTAACTATTGCTAAATTATATTACATTCTTAACATCAATTTCTCTCAGAAACATTTGTTGGAGTTGTCACGGAGAGGATATATGATCATGAATAGGTAAAATGGTCTACACATTAGCAAACAGTGGGAAATTTGGTCCACAAAGTGTTTCCAATAAGCAATAATCGCACCTTGGATTAGCCTCATTTGCAACTTAATAGTAATGTAACCAGTCATACTAATACATGCTCAAAAGTTTTACTCACCAACTTTCCACACACATTTACAGTACATTAGGTTATCTGTGATGATTTTGCCTAGTTCAGGGAAGTGCCAGCCATACCACTCCCTACAGCGCATGATATAGTTATTCAGCTCCTTATCTAGATCATCAAGAAGGGCTGCAAATAGGACAGACATGTTACAAAAATATATTGTGAAGGGAAGATTTTAAATCAGATATAATGAACACAGCAAAACGAAATTTTTCCACAATATATTTTCCCACAATGTTTCCCCTGAATGAATACAAATGTCAATGTTCTGTGACAAAGATGGTCATCATTTTATTTTAAAATTACTGAAAAATGTTTCAGTGAAAAAATGTACTTTTCAAACAAAATTGATCAAATGACACATTATGTTAAAGGAACATTAAGGTTGCTTAGTCAAACACTCAAAAGTCAGGACATGCTAGATTAAGGATGAATATGCAACTTTGCATTCTCAAAGGGAGCTGTATTATCTTCCACAGAAATAAGCCTCACTGAACATTACCTCTCAGTAATGCATGATTTGATGAAAATCCATTAACCTTTTCCTCACTTAATGACCTGACTTAATTGTACCTGCCAATATGTGTGCTATGGATCTTCTGTACAAAGCAACTTTGGAATAGACTCTCTGAAAGTTTAACTGATACTAATTTGTTTCCCATAGGTAACTGCCACCAGAAAAGGTTCAATTTAAACATCCAACAGAGAGGGAATTTAGAGTTATGGCTACCATTCTATTCTTAACTCATCCCAATGGGCCGAGGTTTTGCAGGGAATAATCCCATATGAGCACAATGGTGGACACACGGATGAGTTCTGATTTTGAAATGTTTTGTTTATTTGGTCAAACTTTTCATTAAATCAAACATATCTCCCCAATAATGTAAAAGAATCATTAGTTAACATGATAGTAAGGCCTGAGGTTTCGTCACAGGAATTTGCTATTCAAATAATGGGCTTTTCATATTTCATGCACTGAATATATTGCATATGAAAAGTTTCCTACAACACTGGTGGTGATAGGGAAACAAAGAGCAGCAGTCTGGCTATCTGGAAGCTCTGAGTCATCCATTCAAGACAGTGAATATGAGGCTGTGTCTCAGGTATAAAGTGTAGTCCTCTTTTTTTTTTTTTCTTTGAACAGGATGCAAATGCCAAAAGCCACACTGCTTGACTTTAAATTACAGTAGCACCGCAAGACCAAGATCAGGATTAGGACCCTACCATGTGAGGCACTGTACAGATATAAATACAAACAGCATGGAGGTGATACACTATCTTACAGCCATTTACACATGCATAATAAATTAAATATGACCTGCTCCATATGACATGTAAGTTACAATGTGTGTTTGAATTAGGTGTGAAGAGTCCACATAGCCTGCCCCAAATGTAATAATAAAAGAAACTGAAGAGCTATAGGTTCAGCCAAAGAAACTTTTTGCTTTGTAATAAACCCTTTAAGCATGTTTAAAATAGAAACATACTTAGAATTAATGCAATAGGCTGTCTACTCCATTTTGTGCTCCAGATCTGAGCTATAAGCTTATTTCTAGCATAGCAGCATAGGATACCCACTGTACATACTGTTACAAATCCCCAAGGCTACAAGCATTTTCTTGTAATACAATATGGGCATTCCCATCTGCTGTCTCAGGAGAAGTAATGAAATCTTGAATTCAATCACTGTCACCTCAACCAGATTCCGCTGACAGAACATGGAATTTGCAGTACTGGAATGTTCCAGCCACCACTGCCTGAGAGTGAGCAACTCCATTTTAACATGTATTCTTCAAGGAATAGTAAGGATTGGTCTGGATTTTCAATTTGACAAAGAAATTTGAGTCGGCTTCCTTTAAGAAAAGCCAGGATACAGAATGACACTGTCCTTTAAATAGTTATTTTCATGCATCACTGAACTGTTACTGTGTTGTGGTCTGAGTTCACTTCACACAAGCTACCACAAGTGGTACCAATAGCAAAGGTGCAAAGGACCAATTCTTAGGGGAGCAATTAATTTCTCATCAATGTTCAGGTTGAGTCACACTGGGAATTGAAGGAATGGGAAGCTTGAACTGCCACTATATGTGCTATAGCTATTTTCTGGACAACCAAAGGACTTCTTCACCTTTTAATACCACCCTCTCCAACCATTTGATATTTAAATTACAGTAATACCATTCATAAGCAAAAGGGCACATTTTAATAACTATTAGCAGCCTCCAACAGAATACTTTAAATATAAAATTCCAAATATACTCACAGATTGCTTGAACAATCATTGTATCCACTTTGTCTGGGCTGAATTTCAGCTTGTATCGGGAGAGGCTAAAAAACGCAGATATCGTTATTAGCTGCACCCAGGCATTCCAATGCAAAAACCTTGTATTCTCCACCTGTTTTATTTTCCATGAATGTGCCCAGTTGTAGGCTCATTCACACTTGTTTAATTTAAAGATAAAGACTGGCCTCTGCTGGACATAATGATTATTTTAAAGAAGCACTGTTGCTGGTTAATCCCATAACAGCTATAGCACAACACTAGCCAGTATGAAGGGCAGAATCCATGCACTAAAAAGGAGATGGATGGCTGTACCACAGCATTGGCTGCACATACACTGTGACAGGAAATTTGTTGAGTTACTTTTTGCAAATTTCTTGATATAAACAGACTAAATATTCCCAATTTTGCAGTGGCTGGGATTGATCTAAGGCAGGGCTACTCAACTTTGGAAGCCCTGGGGGCAACAATGATACTCACAGCACATGCCCAAGGCCACAACTTAAGAGTGGTTGCATATACATGCAAATATATATGCAAATAGCTTATTTTACACTGATGGACATGAATACAAAGATTAAGGCAAGACTACGCAATACACAGGCCCCATTTAAGTCAGTTCTGCTGATATTAACAAAATATAATATTTACTTGATTTCCACCCACATAACAGCACTTTTAATGAGCAATGACAGTCCAGGAATTTAACTACTAAAACGCATATCACTGTTATATTCAGGGCTCGCCGGACTGTGGCCAGATGCGCTGTGTGGCGATCTGCGCATGCGCAGATCACCCGAACCTGGCTCTTCCAGGTTGCAATATACTCACCATGGGCGAGTAGACTGCATTATTTGTCGAGCCCTGGTTATATTAATTGCTTTTTTGTTTTGGCTCCCACCAGCGGGCCACATGTTGACCCCACGTAAACCCAAACTGTAGCACGGGCCTCAAACAAACGGGCTGTGGGCTAAATGCGGCCCGCAGGCCTCATGTTGCCTAGCCCTGGTCTCAGGGAAAAACTGTCTAGAAAGTAGTAAAATTCAGGAATATGACAGAAGAACTAACCGATAAACTTCCCTTGCTCTAGTTATATTTTAAGACAAGCCAAACATTTATACATTTAAAATACATTCCAGGATCTTGCATTTGGATTATGTCGAAAAAAACCTCTCGTGTTACATACAGATTTATATCTTCAAAAAGCTGCACAAACATTAATCCTCTCAATTACGTGAACAAGAAAGGTAACAACCTCCATTTCAGAGGAGTAAATTAGAAAGATTCAGTAACTTGCTCAAGGCCAGGAAACAAATTCCCTGCAAAGTCTAGCCTCTGGCACCTAACTGTACTTGTCATACCTCTGTGTGTTGAGCTACTACTCTGCTTACATCTACCATCAAGAACATTGCCTTTAACATTTAGATTGTGTCATGGAACTAGAACGTATGTATCTCCAAGAGACCCTGAACAACATATTTTAGAGTGTTTGTGCATCTGTGAGTCTGTTCAAGAACTCCTCCTAAATGGTAACAGCTAGGCCCACCAAATTTGGTAGGCAGCTTCCTTTTATACTAACTGTAATCAATGTCAGGGTTTGGTTGTGCCAGAAAAAAAGGATGCACCTGGAATGGGACTGTTTTCCAAAACACAAAAAAGGTGCTGTTAGCAGGAACTGTTATACTTTAATTAATATAATGGTCTTCTGTTGAGTAACCACAGGGGGCAGGTGCATCAGGAATAGAGTGGCCACCTGTCCAGGTTAGTAGCCCTCCTATTCCAAATCCCCCTCCACTCCCCAGCTGCAGCACAGAACTGGGAGCATCGTCTTCCAGCCAGCAGCCACATCGCCCTGGAGCAGTACTGCTGGGAGCCAGGTAGCTCTCCTCCCCAAGGAGCACCACCATGGGCTGGGGCCAGGCAGTCTCCCTACCAGGGCAGAGTACCACAGCGCACACACTCCGGAGGAGCTAGGGGGGCAGCTGCAGCATTGTCCTCACTGCTGCAGGTGGCCCTGATGAGCCCCCCAGACACCTGTTCTGAGCCCCCACACACCCAACCTCCTGCCCTGACTCCTGCACTTCCCACGGCACCAGACTCCTGCCCTGAAGGACTTGAGCAATGCCAGATAAGTCTTTTAGTTTATATTAAAGCATTGAAGTATCAGAGACCTGAGTGATTATGAATCAGTTTGCCAGTAACTGCATTTTGAGTAATACATTATTCAAGTATATTCATAATAAACAAGAAAAAGCTACTCAACACAGCTTAAAGCTACATCAAGTATAAAGAGGGACCTGCTGTACTAAACACAGTGAACTCTGCAAGTTTTATTCTAAGACAGGATTTAACAAAATTTTGTGCTTAGAGACTTTCGGCTTAGTCCTGTATTCATTTCACACTCTAGACTCTCTCTGATATCAAAGGGAGTCTTGGGTATCCAAAGATTCAGGAATGGAAGAAATACAGTATAGCGTATTGAACTACAGCATCAACAGCAACTCACCTATGCGCCAATCCTAAACACATAGCAGCCATTTCCCGTGATGGAAGGCCAGTAATAAGCCCCTCGATCTGAGAACGAATTCCTCTCATCAGTTCAGTAACCATTGGGCTATGAATACAACTTAAGTTCAGCTTATCCTATAAAATTAAGATGAATGTTAGGTGTTAATCAAGTTAATTTAAATCCTGTTACAAATTCTCTTTCAATTATCTCTCTATATGAAAATACTTTTCCCTGCCAGGCGACAGAATGTCATCAGCATTTACAGGTTCTCTCAGCAAAGCAAAAGCAGCCAGAAAGAAGGGGGTTGGAGAGCATAGCAAGCACGGGGCACAACCCCCTAGTACTTTATATTGATGATTATTCTCCTACAAAGATATATTTGCTAGCCATTTATACTAATCAAAGATTTTTTGCAGACAGAAGCAGTGACAATCCTCAGGGGTAAATATTAGGATTTCCAGCACTATAATAATCATATGTAATTGTCATTTTAACTTCCTGATCCTAGGTGCAACACCACTTGTAAGTAAGGTCCTGTGTATTCTGCCCCTAAATCTGGGTCAAGACCAGGATTTTGCAAGTGATTAGGTGTACACTGGACAATAATTTTTCTTAACCTACCATTGTGCCACTGAGCAGATCACATTAGAAAGTGGAGAATACATGAACATATTTGGGGGCAGAGGGACTGTGAACTCCCAGTGACCCTTATAAGAAGCAGCTGTCTTTCTTGCCAAAGCAACCAACAGTGAATAAGCAGATCAACTGTATGTTTCCTTAAATAAGATCAGTAGGTCAATGATTAATAAATTTATGCGGTCTGATTTCATAGTTAAGTCCTCATTGAGGCAAGAAGTGTGCATACCTGAATGAAGTTTCAGGTTGTCCATTTTTAAATCAGACAACACCCTCTCATCTTATATTCAGCTCACACCTGAAAGTTTTTCCAATTATAAGAACCAGAAACTTATTTCTAATGAACACTCATTATCTGTAACATGGCTACAGAACCACAAAAGCCACAAGCCTTTGTTCATAATATCTTAGCAGAATAAAACTAAATTAGAAAAGAAAAGTCAGTTTTCACCTTTATGACACCTCCAAGTTTGGCATCTGCTATTGCCAGCTGTTCATGGGCATCTTTTGCCACTAACTTCTTTAGAATTTTCTTCAAGCTCTTGCTGAGCTTGCCCTCTACCAGGGCTGTGGATGCTGCAGAGGGAAGAGGAGAACAAAGATTCAAGTAAAAAATAAACAAATAAAACTTTCTAAAATCTAACAGGTACTAAAAATAATTATGTTCACCTGGATACACAACGTTGTACACTCACATTCACACCTCTACAAGCTACTTTAATCAGAATTGAAGTTGTAATTTTTTTACCCTGAAGTCATTCAAATGAAGAAAATGTAGCAAAATGTTCACAGATTATCCAGAGCCTACAATGCTTTTGTTCTTAATTCCTAAAAATTACTCAAATGGCATGTTTTGCATAGGCTTACAAAAAAATTCAGGAATTTATAATCTTAGAGAAAAAGGCATTTATCTAGTATGCAAAGATATCCACCATACATCTCCACAAAGTGCAGAGTAAACAGCTCTAATGTATTCATTACTGGCATTTTATCTGTTGTCTCAGTGGTAGTGACGAAATGTGGTATTAAATCATTACATTTCAGTTTAACCAAGAATGCATCATTGACAACAGAGTATAAAGAACAAACCAGCATAAAGATGTCAAGAGTTTTTATTCACTATTGGTTTGTATACTCATAAGCACAAATACAGGAGCAAATAATTAGATTTCAATATTTTTATATGGTGTCCAGAGGCACGGCAGCTGCCCCAGAAAATACCTAGGTCTTTGTTCAGAAGCACCTTAAACAACTAAGACATAGTAAAAGAAGAGCGCAGGGTATATAATGAAAGTATGTGATTGGTTCTTTTCAGAAAAAAACAGCTGTCAGTTTTAGCTTTCATGCCTTTACTTACCAGCAAGGGCTTCTGTTGTATCCTGAAACTTTTCAAAGTGTTTCAACTTCACTCTAGAGGAGAGAATTTTTATATTCTAGTTTACATCAGAGTAGTCTCGTCCTTCTCTCTTCCTTTATGATGAATAGCACATCTTAACTTTCCAAGCTCCTATCATAAATATCAGACCCCTAATTCCCTGTAACATCACAGGAGGCTGAAGTTTGATTTTCAATCTCCAAACCTCCAAAAAAAAGGAACAGTCTTGAAACTACAAATCAGCTTTCAGACTCCTGTTATTTCATCACCCAAGCCCCCAGAGATCTTGCAAAAGACCTTCAAAGGGGTGAGAAATCAAGATCTAGTATGTCTAATGAAAACATACATATAACCTCCCCACCACCAAAACATGGCCCTCTTTTTGTATTGCAGTTCATATTTTAAAAAAAACAAAAATTCAAAATTCAACACAGCTTCTTTGATTAACTAGTGAAAGCAAGCAGCATACTGCCTCTACTATAGCAGAGCACCGGGTCTACTTAAGTTTCTGTTTCTACACTGGATTTTTAGAAGAGTCAGATACTTGGATTTCCTTGAAATTTACTGACCGCATGGCGGCACAGTGTAGACATATCCAAATTTGGGGTCATTTGGCCAAAGGATTCCTGAGATACAGGTCCTCAAAAACAAATTTTCGCAAAAATTAACAGACTGTACTTTTCTATTTTGTTTTTGCATGATACCCACTACCCTTGGAGGAGTAATTTTGAAAACAGAATTTGAAAAAGTTTGGCTCTTCAGATAAGCACATTCCTAACACTCACAAGCCAAACAGACTACACTGCACGTGGGCACTGTTTGCACAAGATGTCTCCTAGGTAGCAAGGACTCTCAAAACCTGTATGAGTCAAAGGGGCGCACTGAAGTCATATCTGTGCAATACCCTGTAATTTGGCTGTGATGAAAACTAGGAGGGGGAAAAAGGTATGATCTAGGTTCTTTTGTTTTTTATTTGGAGGAAACAATCTTGAATATAGCAAAAAATTCAGAAGACCTCCAAACTATTTTTGGAAAGAAAATACATTACACCTACAAGTGTTTACCTGGAGAGGAAATTAGGGGGTAAGGGGTCTATGATTACAGGGAGGGAAGGAAAGGTTATGGAGCACGAATAAACAAAGATGAATGGCAGAACAAGCAGGAAGAATATGAAGTGAGAACACAAGCTGGCCCACATTTTCCCTTCCATGAGCCAGAATCCACAGTGCCTAATAGGGATGTAAGCGACTAGTCATCCATCCGATAAGCATAAGCTTCTCAAATAGTCAACTAGTGATGTGACAAGTCACTTCCCCACTTTGCTGCCTCTATCAGTGAGGGGCAGCAAAAACGGGGGGGGGGGGGGAGAAGAGAGCTGGTTCCCCCCCAGTACCGTCTTCAACAAGTGCAGGAGAAATAGAGGCACAGCGGGAAACAGCGTGAGCAGTGACTGAAGAAGTCTCTGCTTGTGCCACTTCTGCTGCAATTCTGCTTTTGAAATGTACAAGAGCCCCAGTGTGGCTCTTGTACATTTCAAAAAAAAAAAAAAAAACACACAGAAGCCCCACAGGGAACGTGAGGCCAGCAGGGGACTTTGGTCCTATGCTCCTTGTGGGGCTTCCTTTTGAAATGTACAGGCAATGTACAGCTCCTTGTGGGGCTTCCTTTTGAAATGTCAATGGCTCAGGCACCACAGGTAGCGCAAGGCCAGCCGGGAGTCCCCCGCTGGTCCTGGGCTGCCTGAGGGGCTTCTACTTTTGAACTGTAGCAAGAGCCCAGTAGGGTTCTTGCTACAGTTCAAAGGCAGAGGTGCCCGTATAGACTAATTGAATAGTCAATGGAAAACCCATCAACTATTCAATTAGTTAATTAATCTAAATTTAACATCCCTAGTGCTTAAATTCTCTATGCCCCTCCACGTGAGCAGGTATCTGGGGAAACCCTGGACTTCTGGGTGAAAAGCTGAAGATAGCCATGCTGGCAGCATACACCAAGAATACACTGTTAAGGCTGAAAGGTAAGGTGGGAGAAGAGGCACACTATATCAATGGCTCTGCAGAATGAGCATGAGAATACCTATGACATCCATGTGTGTATGGAAGGATTTTCTACTCCCCATCAGTTTACCAATCCAAAAAGTCTATGGACAGTTCCAGTTGCATCTGCTATATCACCTCCCTGATCCTAACTTCCTCCTCCTTCTGTAATAATCCTCTCTTATCTATACAAAGTTGTACTTAAGCAGCCATTGGGACCCAGGACAATTATCTCCAGGCTTAGATTTTTGACTCTAGTCCAATTCTGATTAATCTGTCTCAGAAAAGGCTATGTTATCTGTAACAGAAGCAAGGTCATAGATAAAGGTACCCTCTCTGAAATTCCTAAATTGAACTTGCATCACCTCCAACAGCAGCTCAAGGCTTATGCTGCAAGGCACAGTGAGACCAACATCTTTTTAAGAACACAGGAATAGCATAACTGGATTAGACCAAAGTCCATCTAGGCTAGTACTCTGGCCCACAGTATCAAGTGTCACACTTCAGAGGAAGGTGTAAGAACCCTGCCATGAACAGATACTCTGCCACAGCTACACACATCCATATTAGGTTTCACTCTGATCTCTAGCACCCAGAGATCTTGGGTCAGATCATTCTTTTAACATGTAAAAGCTGTGAACTATACTGAAACACAAAGCCTTAGTCCTTCATCTCCTATGTACACAATTAAACACAGTTATCTTTCATACCCAGGCTGTTAGCTCTTCATGGAAAGACTTACATTTTATTTGCTTTTTCAGGAGTTTCAAATTCTCTCCACAAAGTATCAACTTCCTGGAGTTTCTTTTCATCCAGAACCTGTGGATAAAAAATGAAACCAATGTTTAAAGACGTTTGGAGCAGGTGTGTGGAGGGGGGGGGAGAAGGGGGGAGGAATGGACACATGTTAAGTAGCTGACCTTCGGAGCTTAGAGACACTAGCAGGAGGGGAGCAGAGGAACTGGTGCTCTGGGATTGCTTCCACATTCACTGTTGGGGAGCAGAGTGAGCCAGGGCCACGCAGCTCTGCTTCCCGCACCACTGTCAGTGAGTGTGGAGGGGCCAGATCAATGTTCCCTGTAAGCTGAGCACATGGCAGCCACCCAGGAGAGAGTCAAATGCAGCCCAGCTGATTAGCAGAGCACTCACAGCCAGCAGCATGTTTCTACTGTTGATGCACATCTGCATATGCCTAGGGGCACATAATATTTATTCTGCAGGTGGACAGAAAAAAGTTAGAGGGAACACTGGATCTAGAGATGGTAGATACATGATTGCTAAAATAAATGTTAACTACAAAAAAAAATGTTTTCAGTTACATTAGTGTTTCCCAATCTTTTCCAGATGGGGACCCATTTTGACAATTCAGGAATACTTGGTGACCTAAGGCAATTCAAAAACAGGGAGGAGGGAAGGCAGAGCCGCCTGGGGAAGACACCTGGCAACCCTTTTGAAATGTAATGGCGACCCATATTTGGGTCCCGACCCATATGTTGGGAAACCCTGAGTTACATGGTGACTAGCCTTTGTACCAGAGGCAGCAACATAAGCTGGTTTAAAAAATCAACTCCCTGCACAGACCAGCTCCCACCTGCTGCTCAGGACTTACTCTCTTTGCAGTACAATGCATTCAGACCTACACAGCCTTCAGAGTAAATTTTAAAGACACCACCCTTGGCTAACAGACTAATATTTCAGATTGCTATCAACAAAAGAAATCCACCTCTGCCTCCCAAAAGATTAATCCACAGTTTCACTAGTCTACCATATTTCTGAGCTCTTAATAAGCAGTGCACTAAGACTTGGTCTACACTACATCCGCCACCTCCTCCCATCCTCAGCCCTTACATATAGTCTGTCAGAAAAGGTTTGCAGTGCAATGAAGTTTGAGAATTCCTGAACCCATCTATGCTTATATAAAAAAAAGTAGGGCCCTACCAAATTCATGACTATGAAGAACATGTCATGGACTGTGAAATCTGCTCTTCTCCCCCATTAAATTTTTATCATATATGGTAAACCGGGAGTGGGGAACCTCCACCGCAGTGGAAACTCTTGTACATTTCGAAGTTGGAACACCGCCACTGCGCTCCTTCTCCCTCCCAGAGCTGGAAGAACAAGAAAGCCAGTCCCTCCAGGATCCCTTGCTCTCCCCCCCCCTTGCTGCCTCTTTCTGATAGAGGCAGTAAGGGAGAGGGGGGAAGTGACCAGTCCTCCATGTGTCCTCTGATAAGCTTTTGCTTATCAGATAGTTGACTAGTCACTTACATCCCTATAAGATTGTGTGTCCAGTTAAAGTTTCTGGAATGGAATCTTTGCTTTTCAATGTACACCAGTCAAGCTAAGCATTTTACATAAACATTAGCAGACAAATGTAAATTGAACACATCTTGTAAATGAAGTATTTAAAATACCATTACTATTAAGTTAGCCTCAATGCTTTCATTTAGGGACTAAAGGAATAATATTACTTGCAATAAACGCTAAAAGTCCCAGAAGAAACAGATGCAATGTGAACATATTTGGAAGGCAATAATAGAACATTAGTTAGTTGTATAAACGCCACAATTTCTGCTAATAGTTATCACAAGGGGATAATTCTTAACGGATCTGTTTCATTCCAAAACTGGTGGCTAAAATTAACAAATGCAAGACCAGCTTGCTCTTCCCGGATGCAAACAGGAAGTGAGTTGTTGGTACCACAAGAGATCACAGGGAAAAGCTGCAGCTGCAGACACGTGGTCACTGACATTTACAATTACACTTTATCCTGCGGAATGAATCAAAGCTCAGGCTCGGAGAGAAGCCGATCTATGCAGGATCCGCGAGGAAGCGATGTATCCCTGTGCTACACGCTGCACGACGGCCCAGGTCCGGTTTTCTACCCCAGCAATGGCCACTGCCCTAGGCAGCAGGGGCTGACCTTGTCGGATCAAACGCAGAAAAACCTGCCTTGCAAGTAGCCCGGCGAGGGAGACCCCCGGGGGGCCGAGCAGGCAGCGAGGGCAGAGCCTCCCTTTCCTGCGTTAACCTGCGCCCCAGCCCAGCCACCGCCTCCCACGGACCTCGCGCCTCTACTCGGTACCGGCGCCAGGCCCAGCTGCGACAGACCCGGGGCTCTCGCCTCAGGCACGTGGTCGGGGCCCGGGGCAGCACCCGGCGCTCCTGCTGCAGAAGGCTGGGGGCCGCCCCGCGCCCCTGCCGGGCAGAGCCTCCCTTTCCTGCGTTAACCTGCGCCCCAGCCCAGCCACCGCCTCCCACGGACCTCGCGCCTCTACTCGGTACCGGCGCCAGGCCCAGCTGCGACAGACCCGGGGCTCTCGCCTCAGGCACGTGGTCGGGGCCCGGGGCAGCACCCGGCGCTCCTGCTGCAGAAGGCTGGGGGCCGCCCCGCGCCCCTGCCGCC